TCCAGGAACAGTTTCATAGGTTCCATCATCCTATTGACGATAAAAGTTCAGTTTAGAAAGACCTGTATACTATTTCTGAATCTGGTAAATCAGACAAATAAAAAGAAAATAAACTAATATGTTGACTTAAAATCGTATAGACATCCAATATGAACATTTTCATTACTGAAAAGAAAATGAATGACCGAGAATATAAGGATGTAAAGTTTAGATCCCATGTCCTTGGTATCTTCCAGTTATATTTAGAAGTATCTTTCAACCCTTTTGCCAGCACCCCCCGCCCCACCCAAATTTTTAAAAGAAAAAATCTAAAATTGAATAAATTACCAGGTCAACAATCTCCTGAAAGTGTACAGAAACACCTGCACTATCCAGGTTCTGATGGTTCGTTGAATTGTGAATAAGCTCCGAAACTTTGTTAAGTCGCATCTAAGCATTAAACCAGCAAAAGTACACACAGACATGAGACTTAGAAGTGGAAATGTACTGCGTTTGTTAATGGAAATGGCTATATGGTTATTAGGAGTTACATAGTACCCAGAGTTGCAAATCAAGAAGCAAAAAAAAAAAAAAAAAAAGCAATTTGCAAATATTAGTACCTGCTTAGCTCGCTTCCCAAATACAAATAGCATTGCATCTATTACGTTACTCTTCCCACTACCATTGGGTCCAACAACTGCAGAAAAACTCTACTGGGCAGAAGAGCAGCAGAAAACAAGGGAATTATAAGAGGAAGAGAGGGAAGAGATATATATAAATATAGATATGTAGCGCAGAGAGAGAGAGAGAGAGAGAGAGAGAGAGAGAGAGCTTTGCAATAAATAAATTAGAGGCTCCGCTGGGTTGCTGAGAAACGAAGAGAAGACTACTAGCAAAAGAAACAACTTTGGAATTATTTCATGTCTATTTGTTGAATCCAGCGCTAAGACAAGCATAATAATGAATCAATTCCACCTAATTATCCAGTGCAACTGAATTGTATTAAGGTTTCGTTACGGAAGTAAAAATCAAATTTCTTCCCTCATTATCCCGTCAGTAACTAAACCGGAACCCTAGCTTTTTTAAAACTGCACGTAATGAATACCTACAGAAATTGATAGACTCAAACCTTGTGGAAGGGACCAACGCGTTGTTCACCTGCGTAAGATTTGAAGTTCCTCATTACCAATTCCCTGATGTACAGCCTCGGGGTTCTCGGACTTCCCTGAGCAGAATTGGACGCGCCCCTTGGCGTGACATCGTCCGCCGACTCCATTACCATCTCGTTGAGTCAACTTAGTGACTTATAATCAGACGATTGAAAAAACTTCCGCAATGATGCGAACTCGTTAGACACAATCAGATTAGTGGCATTCGTGATGGAGCTGGACTTTGGAGAGACGAGAAATGAATTTGATAAATCAAATGACATGGCGGGAAAATAAAAACTTGATTAAAAAAAAAATTTCCATTTTTCAAATGAGTGAAGAAAGACTAGCTTTAAAATCTATTTCTTTTTAAAACATTCTTTGTGTTTCAAATTACTAATTTAGTTATTAAATGAAAAGGTTTAAATTCTTAATTTTTTTATTATTAGTTATATTACTTAAATAAAATGAATTACTTTTCTTTTTATTTATTAAGATTACTTAAAATACGAATAAAACAAAAAAAAAATGT